CTTAGAAATGAGATTTTGAATGAAATCTGTGCCTCAATTCGTGCACAGCGTTCATACTGCCGCAATAATAATAATGGTAGATCTGATTATCTAGTGAATGGTATTCATTCAAAGTCATTGGTACATTCACACTCCTGGATTGCTATACTTTAACTTGCCCCCCCACCCCCATCCCCGGGATTCATTTCTTGGAATTAGAATTATTTGTGAATCACTTGTAGTTGAGTTTCTACATCATCTATTCGATCGATATTCAACTGACTGTGGGTAATTTTTGTAGCAGTGACCCACTCGTTTTCCTTTATTCGTTATGTTTACATAACTGGCATATAAAGAACTCCTTTTCGACTTATTCATTTGCTGAAGAGTTTGAATATATTTGTAAAGAAAAAATATGAGTAAGTGTCGTATTGAATGTAATGAGATAGAAGTGTGGTATTGTCATTATCATTGTAGATTTATTGATGATGTTGACATTTGTTGATGTAGTTAGTGGTCAGACTCACATATCTCCAAAAATGACTGTTCCTGCATGTCTGTCTGTTTTCGACAGTTCAAGTCGCCACACTCTGATAGGATCCCACATATTTTGGTATTGACTGTTTAAACTTGCATATATGTATGTTACATTCTCACACATTTTGGTATTGACTGCTAATTTGTATATTATCATTCTCACGCATTTTGGTAGTGACTGCTAATTTTGTATATTATCATTCTCACGCATTTTGGTAGTGACTGCTAATTTTGTATATATGGGATATTATCACTCCACACATTTTGTTACTGACTGTCAATGTCGCACATATGGCATATTATGATTTCTCACACACTTTGTTATTGGCTATTAAGGTCAATTATTTCAAATGCTGTTAGCTGTCCATGTTGTTGTAAAATGTATAAATACCATGGCTTTCTTTATCGTTGTTGCACCTCAATACACAGTCACAGTCCAGCCTTTGTCTTTTGATATTTGCGTGCTTTACCAAGTCGGAAGGTACGACGAGCAGATAGGCAGATTAGTTCAGGCGCAGACAGAATAAGGTGACAACGTCTTCATTCAATCCCCCACAGTTATAACAAATTGGCGACGGGGTTTACCTTAATTCAGTGCAGTTATACACACTCCGTGTAGCCTGCGAAGCAAGAGAAGAAAGTACAAGAAAAGCATAATAGAGACAGTGAGCAGAGATGTGAGACAAAGGAGTGATAACGAAGAACAAAACAGTTTCATTGGAGATCATAAGTCACAAGGAGTGGATGCATCTGCGCCACTGAGAACGATTTTGAGCCATGTCACCAATTGTTTCCAACCATAGATTTTTACCGTCCCGAGGACCCCAACCACTCTGGAAGTCTACACCTTCCTACGTGGCTTAGACCAACTGTTGTGGATTTCATTGACTGGTGAAGGCATGTTTTTGTTTGACCTCCGCTAGCTGTTTTCCAGCCTGACCCTATATCCGCTAACATTGCTCGTCGAGGGAGGCGATGACTTGGCATACGCAACACATGTCCTAACCATCTCAGTCTTTGTAGCTTCACGACTTCGTCGATTGATTTCCCCTGTTTACCTAGCACTCGACGCCTGCATGCCAGAAAGGTAGGTCACTTGGATAGCAGTTAGACTAAAAGCAGTTGCCATTATAGTGTAAGTCACTTACTCTGTCGTTCTGCTGGTTGATAGGAGTGTGGGGCTTTAAGGTATTTCCCTCAGATGATTAGCAAGCGGGGTTTTGATGTCTTACTATTCTGGAGAGTGGTGAGATAATAAGAGGTTGCACCTCGACTACTCTACGGTGGTAAAATCTTCTTCCCGAAGCAACTTTGAAAATCAACTCAAGTAGACTGTATGTGTTGGTGTTGGGCCTCTCAAGTGGTTGTCTCTTGGACTCTGTGGTCATGCAACACTAATGCTGCTTCTATTTTAGGTATTTTTCAAGAAGAAATTAGCTTCGATATTGTTGGCAGCCGGGTGATAATAATAATTACCAACACACTTCTATAAGCACACAAGACTTTCCTGACACTTGATGATATCTACTTATGAGTTTTTTTTTATTCCTTTACGTTCCCAGTGGAACATAGGGTTTCAAGCTAGAAGCCTGAAGTTTCTGTAGCAGTGTTTATTTTTCACAGGATGGGGTTGCTAACCTCATGCCCAACCTTTCCTCTTTACCAGCATTATTTCTGGCTTAGCGAGGTCATGGAGTGCGTTGGTGGCCGCGGAGATTGAACCCCGGACCATGTTCATGGTCGGCGAGCGTCCTAACCGCTATGCCACCGACGCACCTGCTCATGAGTGAGTGACTTGTTATTGTTATTACTCAATCTATAGAAGAAGAAGAAGAGGAGATAGCCAATTTAGTGTGACAACTCAGTTAAAATGCGGTAATTCTATAGGACTGGTGTGCGCTGACTTTTATTTTAAGGATAAGAAGTCACTGATTGCTGACGAAATTCCATGAAATCTTGAACTACTACTTTCATCCGATTAGCAGTGAAGTTTTTAATTGGCTAAATTGACTCTTTTGGATGCTGTAAAATTATTGGATGGAGGTTGTTGTTGGCGAATGCCGTGAAATTTGTTCCCAACTCTACTGCTTGCATTATTCACTCCTGTATGGTTCTATTATGGATAAAATTTTATTCTGATCAAATCACACAGTATTGTTATACAGTAATATTAACTGACGACGTTTCAGGTACAATTTATTACTGCTCATAATCATATCAAGGTACTACTCACATAACTTTCTCACTTCATTTATATACATGAGTAAAAATTGATGATTAGATGCGTGAATAAAATCAGTATAAGATAAAGCATTTTCAGAAATAATAATATTTAGTGTTATCAATAAAATACAATCAGATGGGAAGTAAGATGTTTTTATAGTAAAATAAATAAATAAATAACTTGTTAGAATGTTATCATGTGAATTGAATACATTTTAAGATTATTTATTATCCTCCTCTGATTTGACTGACTGGTGGTAATAATATCTTCCATATCTCTGGTATTTGCATTGAGTCATTCCTATTTCATGTGTTGGGTGTAGACTCAATGAACCAGGATTCTGTAATCAACAACCTCTCTCTCCACCTGCATAGATTACATCTTAGAATTTGAACTATGTCCCACCTATGCACCCTATTGTGTGGTTGTGTGTGTTAGTGCGTGAAGTGTGATTGCTGAGCTTTTTCTAAATTAGTTATATTCTCGGTGTCAATCATTCTAACCTTAGCTAAATTCCTATGTTCTGACAATCTAAAACTATCCCCTATCTAATAGTTTGACCTATGTAGTTGACCTAACTCACAGTTATTGCAAGGTATTTTGAATTATATTATTTTGTTTAAATGGGTCCACTGGATCGTTTAGCCTACAGAGAGCTGGTCCTACTTGAGTGAGTTTGTAGGTGTGAATGGCAACCTGATTCCTGCTTTATTGAGAATCCTATTTAGGGAGGGCCTCAGATGTCCCCTCCTTATATAGCAGAACTGTAGATGCCTTATATTCTCTCTTATTTATGTTATCATCATTAGTTCCACCACTGTTTTTATTTTGCTTCTGACCTTTATTGATCTTCCTAATGAATTTTATAGGATAGTTAGCTCTATTTAACACCAACGCCTCTTCTATCTGTTTCATTTCATCATTTATGATTTTTGTTGTACTGCTTAGTGCTATTGTTTAGTTTGTTAGACACATGACTAAGATGACACTAATGTTGTTTCCGAATGTGCCTTATTATGCTTAGTAGATTGACTAACGACATTCGTCTTAATTCTCATCATATTATATATTTATTGATAACACTAATGATGATTCCGAATGTACTTTCTCTTCCATTCTGTTTCATGGATGTCTTATATTGATTTTATTTATATCTCTAATCATTAGTTTTTACTCATGTATATAAACTACGAAGCAAGAAAGTTGTGTAAGTAGTGCCTTGATATGATGAATATGAGCAGTAGTAATAAATTGTGCTCGAAGCGTGTGGTCATCAGTAAATATTAGTGTACAACACACTGGGTGATTTTATCAGAATGAAATTTTGTCCATAATAGAGTTATACTCTGATTGGACACTAGTAACTAGTGTGACGTTTCTAGCCCTTTCTTTGGTGCAGACTGAATTTTATCAGTCAGGTTTGCAATGTGGCCACTATTCTAGGTAGCTGGACATCACGGTGCACATTGATTTGATTATATTAGATGGTTGGAGGCAATCGGCTGCAGGAAGCCTTGGACCTAGTTGGCACTCATCAGCAAGGCGTATCTGCAGGCTTCTAGGAACTTATGTCCCTTCTGAGATTCAAACCCGCGTCACCCAACACAGTGCCCAAATTTTCTTATATCAATAATACATATGATGGTTTGGTATTTTGGCATCACCTCTATCTCCTCTGTGTTCACTTGAGGTTCTGTTTTTGCTAGTGGCCTCTTCGGCTAATTTGTACATTTTCACGTGTAGACATTAAACAAAAGTTATGGGTAAAGTTCAGGGTCTTCCAGAGTCCTCTTGTCGATCAAACCTATGCTTCTCTTTTCACTCTCCATAGTCTTCTCCATGATTCATTCCACTACAGTCAGAAAAATATCATATCTTTTAATCTTACTCCTTTCTATCTTCACTTCACCAAAGACTTCGTTGAGTTCTCCACTTTGAATTTCTAGGCATGTGGCAGTGTCTGTCATATAGATCTGTTGAATTACGTTGATTGATGATAAAGATTTGGGGGGAGGGGGTACTCCTTAGAGTTGTGGAGCAGTTTCCGAATTACTTTGTGGTCAATTCTTTTGAAAGGCTTTTTTCACAATCGGTTGCTGCGACTTACTGCATAACCAACTATTCTCTCTTCTGTGTGTACATATTCTCACTCATTTATAAGTTTTATTGTGTGTGTACATGTGTGTAATGAAACGTACTCATTTTATTGTTAATTTTTCTTTTCTTTTCAATTATCCATTGATGTACATATATACTCAAGGTTTCAGTATACATAAGCATCGTTATACTTCTATAGCTGAATCGCAGAAAAATTCTAATAAAGAAAAGATGAAAGTGGCCGGTACAAAATATACGAAAAAATGTCCTACATCGTCAACAAGTACTGAAGGTGGTAGTCATAAATCATCTATTGTCCAGTCAAAGATACAATATCTGCCAACAGATACTTCTATGCCTATTTTGGATGAACCAGTTGATCCTGAATGGGATAATATTTTAAATGTAAGTGGATAGATAGATAGATGAGGTATTTTTATTTTCACTTGTTTAGTGTGATTATTATATTATTTATTCGTCGAGTTCCGAGTATGACATATGTGTAGCCTCAGTGCGGCACATCTCTATCCCACTTAGTTCACTACCATTGTAACAACTGAAGACAAGGGCTAGACAACAGATCGTTTTTGAGAAAATCAACAGATATTTATAGATTTTTATGTTAGCAGAGAAGCAACATCTTCTGATTGGTTGTTTTCTCGTTGAAGGTTATTCTGTATTGCTTGTGACCGTTTCTTCGAAAGTCAGGCCATATATCTTTGAATTGTATTTGCACACCTTAAATCTTCTGTGAGACTGGTTGGTGAGTTCCTCGAGGTTAAGCTTTGTTATTGGTTTTTCTTCTCATGACCGCAATTCGGGACGTAACTTTGACGTAAATTGTTGTTTACAGTCTTGGCTTGCAGACAGCTCTCGCCACACTATCACTTACATCAGGTTCCAGAACTGTCTCACTTGGTTTAATTCTCCCTTCACGCGATCTTCATGACACCGTTGAACAACCAAGTTGTCGCTTCCAATTATTGTTCCATTTTAGGACATGGTGTATCATATCCCTGATAGGTTTCCCTAGAACATGTTTGTTTCATCTCCATACCCGAATTCCTTCAACCTCTGACATGCCATCCTTCTTCGAATTGATGTATCCTCTTCATTCCAGTGAAGAATAATGGGTTTATTCTTTCTGTACTGTACAGTTCTGGCAAAGGGATTGTTTTTCACGGGTTGTGTTGCTACCTCCCCCCTCACTCTCTTTTCCGTGCTTAAAACCTGTTGATAAACTATACAAGGATCGTGCGATACTATTTAAAGGCACTCAAGTATACTCTCTGTCGTTCTGTTGCAGCTTTGCTATTTTAGTTGGCATTATGATGGTAGATTGGGGATAAGCATAATTCCTTTTGATGCATATTTTATTAGGAGATTGGTAACACTAATTCACACAGATAAGTGGTTGAGTAACTTTCAGACACTCATGTTTTGCCCACGGAAACTTGAGCGGCATGTAGGTGGCCTGGTTAAAACTTGCGCTACTGAATATCTCCATAACTACATTCTATAGATTTTCACCTCTTCACTTTGTTTCAATCGATTAACATATGATCTCTAAGGATATTATTTACTCTCGCGAGTATTTAAATGTTATGTACTGGTTGAGAATTTAATAGTCCTGACGGAAGAAAGACGGAAATTAGAAGACTACTAGGTTTGCGATGACACTTCTATTTTCCAAACACAAGGAGAATCAATGTCACACACAGTGTGTGAGAGCAAAATATAAGAATGTCCGAAGAAGTGTGTGAGCGAACATTCAAAATGAACAAATCAATAGGCAGTCTTAACACGATTGCCTAATTATAATGGAATATCGATCCATATATACATAGCAAAATATATCAGACTGTCAAACAAACACACATATTACATGGATACGTATCATTAAAGTATTTACAGCCTGCTGACTCTCCATTTTCTGATAAATTTGAAGAGAAGCACATTTGTGGATGGAGGGGGGCAACATATCTCAAAACATGAGGTAATGACTAGTGAGTCGCGTCGTTGGGTCTCAAAATGTACTCCTGAACTTTTTAAGTTAGCTTTCTTCCAACCCAGTGTCGTGGATTTGCAACTGACTAACTGACCGACTAGTTTCAACATAGGACATTGCACCAGTGTGCAGTAGTTCGAGTCGCCACACTTCACTCAGAACACATAGCCAGAGAAGATAGTAAGAAGAAATGCAAAATAGAGACAGTAAACATACATATAAGGCAAAAAGAATAGTAATATCGAAGAACAATATAGTTTTATTGGATAAGTCACTAGAAGTGAATGCATCTTCGCTAGCCAGCCATTGAGAATGACGATTTTGAGCCATATATCACCAACTGTCTCCAGCCTTCATTGATGTTTACCTTCCGGAGCACCCCAACTAGTCAGGAAGTCTACACCTTCCTACCTGACTTAAACCAACTGTTGTGGATTTCATTGACTGATGAAACCATGTTTCGGTTTGACAACCCATGGCTCTTTTCCAACCTGATTCATCCTATGTCAGCTAACGTCGCCCGTCGAGGGAGGCGTATCTGAAATCTTGAAGGAACTCATACCCCTTTCGCAAAGCTTATTAAAGTCCTCTGTCGGAATGTGTAATTACAATTTTTCTCTAGAAAACACAGTTATTTTCAACCTTTCACAATTTTTTCTTGTCTCTTCTTTTTTGTCTCTCTGATTTCAGGGGACTTGGCCATTGTTAAGCAATTGTGCAAAACAAGGTTATGCTAAAGCTATGCTCACTTCGAATTCCAAAAGATATGCAAATTCACAAAAGAGAAAAACGTCTAATATGAAAAATAAAGATGATTCAAAATCGATAAATAATAGTAATAGTAAAAGTAACAATGATAATAATAATAATAATCGATCAATAAAATTTGTACCGTCGAAATTAGGACACCTGTATGCAGAAAAAGAGATTCAAATAATGAATACAGATAATCCTCAGGTAAGATGATTTTTTTTTCTTCCAGCTTAATCCTTCATTGTTTGATATGTGTATGTCTTTTGCTGAGGAATGCTTTCCTTCTCTGACGTCAGTCAGTCACTTTTACGGTGTATACCTTCTTAAGGAAATTAATTCGTCGCATATTGTATTTTTGAATAAAGCAAAACAAAAAAAAGCAACAACACCAACAATCATTATATTTCCTGACCTTAAGGCGAGATTCGATTCTGTCGACCGAGAGGTAGTACTCTGGCGATGCTTGACTGTAAAGGGAATGTCGAGAAAATACATTGCACTGATTAAGCCACTCACTGTACTCAAACTCATGCAGTCAGACAGGTGAGGGCTTACGGCGAGTGGTCATCTGAAGGGGTGACAACTAGTGATGTGCGTCAGGGATGCCCATTATCCCCATTTCTATTCAACTTCATCATAGATGTACTAATGGACTTAACCCTAACTCACTTCAGAAACTCAGGGGTTGACTTGTTACCAGGGTATAATCTCATTGACTTAGAATATGCAGACGATATAGTCTTTCTAGGCGGGGACGCTGACAAAATAGAGCAGAGTCTTTTGAACACCTTGACCTGCAACCTACGAATGTTTGGTATGAGATTAGCTCCCACCTAGTGCAAGATGATGTTACAGGACTGGACTACACCGGCTCCTAGATTAGAAATATGAAGTGAAGTGGTAGAGCACGTTAACCGCTTCACTTATTTGGGAAGTACCATCAGCCAGTGCCAACGGGATGATCTCTGACGAAATCTCAGTACGGATACAGAGGGCTAGTTTGGTATATTCCAGTTTATGCCGTCTCTGGCATAGACGTGATATCCGGCTGGCTATCGACCAAAGAGCGTGTGTACTGCTCCTCAGTCCGCTCCGTCCTCCTTTATGTCTGTGAACGAGACATGGCCATTGAGAGTGGAAGACATGAAAAGGTTTACTAGCTGTCTTCGATCATAGGTGCATTCGTCCTATCTCCCGTGTGAAGTGGTATAATAGGGTGAGAAATATTGAGGTTTGGCATCGGTCGAGTGCTAGGTAAGCAGGGGAAATCAATCGACGAGAATGTGAAGCTAAATCGACTGAGGTGGTTAGGACATGTGTTACGCATGTATGCCTAGTCATCACCTTCCTCAACGAGCAATGTTAGCTGACATAGGGTCAGGCTGGAAAACAGCTAGCGGTGGTCAAAATAAAACAGCTTTATCAGTCAATGAAATACAAAACAGTTACTCTAAGTCATGTGGGAAGTTGTAGACTTCTTGACTAGTTGGGGTCCTCGGGACGGTAAAATCCAGTGGTTGGAAACAATTGGTGATATGGCTGAAAATCGTTCTCAATGGCCAGTGGAGATGCATCTACTCCTTGTGACTTATGATTTCCAATGAAAATATATTGTTCTTCGTTATTACTATTCCTTTGTCTCACACCTCTGTTTACTGTCTCTAGTATACATTTCTTCTACTTTCTCCTCTTGTTTTGTGTGGTACATGGAGTGTGGCTACTTGAACTGTCGCACATATGTGCAAAGTTATATGTCGAAAACAGACAGACACTTTTTGCTAGGTAAGATGGTGCTATCGTTTATGATTCTGTCGGTTTCTCTCTCATCAGTCGTCAAGAGACTGTAAACCAAATTGATTCGGTTATAGTCTGAGCTGACAAGGAACCGATCTCTACGTTATACTGTGTTTTGCCGACAAAACACTTCGTTGAGGTATACGCTATCAAAAGACGCTCCAAAAGTAGGCAGAGAAAAGACGATTATTTTTCAATTTTTTAACGGTTTTTCATTCCTTTTGGATACATAGTGTGGGTTTAAGTTTTCGGATAGCTGGTGCCTCGACTATGCCCAGATGTCATAATTTTACTCCCTTTAACAGGCTTGATGGAATCTTGTATATTACTTCGAAGGATTTTTCGAAAAGCGCTGAATGTCATGAATTGACCAGATTTTCTGTCATTGAACTATATACACGTTTTCGTTTTCCTTCTACTAGCCAGGTTGGATAGTGTTCACGAGCGCGTTTTTCAAGTTGGTGCATGGTACAACTTATGTACTTAGCTCCACAAGAGCAAGTAAACTGGTATATGCACGTTGAAGTAGCCCAATGCGACAGTTTGTCTTTCGCGTTCTGGCTGAACAGTTTCTTGCAGGAAAACGTCAGTCTTAGGCTGGCAGCGAAGTATGTTTCCCTTAGAGATTTGCAGAGTTGTTTCCGAAGGATTTCTGCTTTGATGTCGCCTTTGAATTCTAGATTTGGCAGAAGTATCTTGTTCAGAAGTCTTCTTTGATTTGAGTTTTTTTTCTATGAACCTACACAGAAAATCGTTTTCCATCAGGGTACCTCGGAGATTACGCAGTTATTTATCAATCACTTCCCCACTGCTTATCTTCCTAATCTTTGAGAAGAGAGTGTATATAAGATTCCTCATTCTGCTTAGGGTTACAAATCTTTGGAAGTTGATGAATTGTCCACATAATGTAGGCTTTTTGCATATGGAACTTTTCAGAGAGTTGTCAGATGGACATCAAGGAAGTGGAACATTCCTTTGGATTCGGCTTTAAAAGTAAAGTCGATGTTTTGGTGGGCATTGTTGAATGTTTGAAGTAGGTTTTTTAAATCACAGTTCTCATCACAAATGATGGAACTATCATCCTTGTATCTCTTGTAGAGATGGAGGTCGTCGATAGTTGGTGATAAGGGGTTATTTTCTAAGCTAGCCATAGAGCAGTCGGCTAGGAGGGGTCCTAGGCGAGAACCCATTGCTACTCCATCTACGTCCAATCCTTGTCCTTGCCATGGCCATCATAAACTGGTAAATCTTCTCATAGTGACTATCGTATTGTCTTTCTTATCCAAACATCCTGTTTATCCGTACTATTTTTAGGTTTTTTCATTCGTTATCCCTAGCTCTAAGTTGGAAATCGTTATTCTTTGGTTCGTTTATGTGTCGTTGGTGTTGTTGAAGCAGAGACACAGCTCTTTATGAATTCATGCGAATTTCTTTTGAATATTTTTAAACGAAGCAAAAGGCATCATGATGATACCAGATATACTGATTATTTCTCAGTAATCTTTAGATGATGATTCGAAAGTTACTGTGGATCAGTCGTGATTGCTGCTTGCGATTTCACTTACTGCAATTTATCAACAGATGAAATGCGAAATCGGGAGGTGAATATACGTCACAAAACGCTTTTGTGACAACCATGCACTTGTTGGTCACTTTGTGTGTTAGGAGCTTGCCTTGTAACCGGAAGGTCCTGGGTTCGAATCCCGTCTGTTGGATGCGTGCTGCTGATGATTTCCAAGCACTAGGATAAAGCAGCTGTCCAGTACTCTGTAGTTGATTTCCAACGGTTCTCTGACGGATACCAATATGTGCGTCAAACTTGAAAACAAACCGAGACTCTAGATACAAACTTTTGAAAGTTAATCCTTCATTGTTTGATATTCTTTATTGCTGAGGGAAGTTTTCCTTTTCGGCATCAGCTTTTATTTTTTACACTAGACGTCACTTTTCCAATACAAATTCTAGAGGATTTGCGAATAAAGTAGAAAAAAGTGAAAACGGTTTTTGCCTAATAAGATGGTACCATCGTTTATTTTATTGAATTCCCATCAGTTGCCTTTGTGCAGGCTTAAGAAAGCAATTAGCTTGCAAATGTGACATAATGTTTTCAGTTGATAGGGGATTATAGCAGGGAATAAACAGTGCTCAAAAATTATGCGTTATATAGCTTATACACATAAGGTACAAATTTAAACAAGAATGCCGGAGATGAAGTACTTACTTCTTCTGAGCATATAGCTCTAACTCTGGGGCTGAGGGTCTTTACTAAATTTCTTTTGTACTGGAGAGGAACGAAGCTATGAAAATGTGTATGTTGTTCTGTTCATCTACTCTTTCTTTGCAAATTTCTTTTTATGCTACCATCTGGTTTTCTTGTAAGTAGGACATCCAGGAAGGCTATTCTGTCTTGAGGTTCCTTTTCACGTATGAATTTCATAGCCAAATGTACTTTATTGAATTCAGTAATTATTGTACTCCTATCAGAACCATTATCACAAAGAATAAAGGTATCATTCATATATCGGCAATAAAATGAGAACTTACTGATAAGGTTGTGCAGAGGTCTATTTTCTAGTTTACTTGGAAAAAAATCTGTCAAAATTGGACCCAATGGGGAGCGCATCACCATCCCTTCCACTTGCCTGTAAAGTGTGCTGTGAGATTTGAAACTTGCATTCATGGTACACCTTAATAACAATTCTTTTAGGATATCAGTACGGATGTCAGTGTTTATCGACTGGTTGTACACTTGTTCAAATATGTAGTTAGCCGTCTATACTAGAGGTACATTTGTGAATAAAGATGTTATGTCCAAAGATATCATGGTTTTGTCCTTGATATTAATATCTTTGATTTTGTCCAGGAATTCAAACACATCTTTGACGGTGTATTTCATTCTAATATTGTCTAGCCAGCGTATCATAAACCTTTCCTCTATTTTGTATAATCTTTCAGACTGCAAATGCTAAATCTAATCAGCAAATCCCTACACCACCATGGCTGGCCAGTGATGATAACGAGTCAGTAAGAGATTCTGATGAATTCGATGAAACTGATTTGTTATCGGATAGAGTTAAAGTTAAAACTTCAACAAATTTAATGATGATGACGACGCCGACGGCGAATAATCAACGTCCATGTCTTGATAATTGGAAACCTGAATTATCAAATGCTGCACCATTGAATGATGTAAGTGTGTATTAATCTGGTTCCATGACTGCTCAAAACTTTCATTTCCTCTTTCCATATTTTCCTTCAGAGATGCCCAACTTGTTTCGTGTTTGTGTCTCACTCAAAGGCCTAGTGTATGATTTCACCTGAAAGTCTAGTCCAATCTATGTTGATTCCTTACTCCATACTTGTTGGTTGGTTCCTGGCACTTCTGAATTCCTGCTTGCTAGCCTTTTCTGACCACCTTATTTTCAGCATGGAGCAAAGACAGCTTTTGATGGAAGTATACAGGGGGTTTTAGTGGCGTATTATTATTATTGTTCACTTAGGTTCCTACTGGAACATAGGGCTTCAACTGCACGTCTCCACTTGCCACTTCTGTCTTCTGCTGTACTTTTCATCTGCATCCATGTTAGTCCATACTGTTTCAACTCCTCTTCACACGATCTCCTCCTTGTCACCCTTGCACTGACGTCCCACTCGCCTCTTCCCTTTCGGGTTTCACTGAAGCAATGACCTGACGCGCGATGTCACCCAGTGGCCTTCTCAGAGAGTGTCCATCTCCAACCACCTCCATTTTCTCCTGCATATTTGTTGGGCGATTGGTTCTTGTTTTGTTTGTTCGTGTCCATAGTTGGTGATTCATTCCGACCCGGCCATCTGATCTTCAGTATAGAGCCAGCGAAGACAGTTTTTGGTTGATGAAGGTCTGCAATAGTCTGTTGGAAGTATTCTTTGTGACCCGCCCGCCAATTTTCTGACCCGTATAGAAGAACTGACTGACTTGACGTTTGTATTGAAAATCCGGCTGAATTTTGTTGTTGATGCTGGCTGAGTGACGAAGATTTCCAAATTAGTTTCAGGCTGATGAATGTGTGCATTTTTCGTCTTCCCGATTCTCGATTTGACATCCTCGTCCGTTCCTCCTGTAGTTGAGGAAATGCTCAATGTGAGATAAGTGAATAAATTAACCTCTTTCAAATCCCTCCCGTTGATGGTAATTGGCGCCGGATGTTGGTGCTGTTGTTGTTGTTGTTGGTTGGTTGGTTATTTTCATAACCTCCGTCTTGTCTATGTTCACCTGGAGTTCTGTCTTCGCCGGCTGCTTCTCCCACCAGTTTGTCGGTTGTCGCTTGTCAGTCTTCGATTTTGTGTGACGTCAAACATAAAAATCATCCATGCGTGAAATTCAGGTCTTGTAGGTTCTTCACGTCGGTCGGTCCAGGATATCCCTGTTTTGTCGTTTCCCACTGTCTGACGCATAATCCAGTCCATCGACCACAATTAGGAATATCATTGGTGATAATAGGCAGGCGCCCTTGTGTGACTCCTGTGTTCACTCCAAACGCCTCACTGATTTTTCCGTTGTGGATCACTTAACATGTGCTAGCGTTGTCGTACAGCTGTTAAATAATATATATATATATATAATATTACCAGGAGGTTAATTATTTTGAGTTGCACTTTTCACCTATTACATAATATTTCTAAATTGTAGGTCAGATGTTGTCTGAAAAATTAAGAGTAAGGTAATGATGATAACAGTAAGGACGGTGAAAGTGAAGTGGAATGAATTCCAGTGGTAAAATAGAATACAAAAAAAAAACAAGGAACATTACTATGACCAAGGTAAAGAAAGGGGTTTGACAAAATATTTTTGATGAATACATAATTTGTGGTTTTCTCCATGTATAGCTAGAGCTTCGGCTTCAGTTATGCATGAGTGGAACATCAAGAAAGAAACCATCCGTAGGTAAATCACAATGTTGAAGAAGACAGTGTTTGATGAGTTTGGCTTTCAAAGATGACAGTATTTCTGAAGTAATTAAAAGTCGTTTATCTAAATGTATAGAACGGTGTTTTTAGGCAGCTGACACTCACACACACTTATTATTTACCAGCGGAAGCATGATTCGACAATGCGTCAGGGATAAATTATCTCTTATGTCCACTTCTGCCTCTGTGCGCCAGTGGCACAGCGGTACAGTACTCACCAACCACGCAGGTGGTCCGGGGTTCGATCCCCGGCCACCGACGCACTCCTTCACCTCGCTAAGCCAATAATAAGACTGGTAATGAGGGAAGGTTGGGCATGAGACTAGCCACCTCATCCTGTAAAAAAATCAATACCACTGCTGCAGAAACTTCAAGCCTCTAGCTTGAATCCCTATGTTCCACTGGGAATGTAAAGGAATAAAAAATATGTCCACCTCTATGTGCCCATATACTCATTCACATGCTCGTGTGAAGCTGATTACATTCGTACATTCGTTGTAAGCGTAATCTCTGTAAACGGGTAACTGAAGACTACCCGGCTTGGTTGATGAAAGATGAGCATAGAACGACGAGTTCTTCAATTTGGTAACACATTCTGGAGTGAGGTCATTGTGCACCACGTGATTTATCCTTTAAAGTGATGTACATGACCAAATGCAGCCACTCCAAAAGCTTACGTTTTCTCCACTTATGCATAACCAGCTGAAGCCCTAGCTATATATAAATGGACAAAAACATAAATTATGTATTCATCAAAAATGTTTTGTCAAACCCCTTTCTTTACCTTGGTCATAGTAATGTTCCTTGTTTTTTTTTTGTATTCTATTTTACCACTGGAATTCATTCCACTTCACTTTCACCGTCCTTACTGTTATCATCATTACCTTACTATAATTTTTCAGACAACATCTGACCTACAATTTAGAAATATTATGTAACAGGTGATAAGTAATAAGCTGAAGGTTCTACAGTGGCTTTCACACCAGTTCACCATTAGCTAGTCCTGCACTTCTGAGACTCAGTGGGAGAAAAACCAACCGGTAATATGCTGTCGTGGGATGAAGGGTCTGTCTGCTGGTGCATCATAACTTCATGAGTGAGGTCCGAAACGCCCGAGACATGATCAGATGAGGCTGGTAATATTAGCCATTGGCGAATATATAGGGAGATTTACCCCTGGTCCCTCACTTCTTCAATATCTCAAGTGATGATATGGTAATAAACACTCCTGCCTTATTTGTGTATCCTTTACTGTTGACCTTGACGTGGTGGTCGGGCTTGAACACCGCAATGACCTAATCAAGCTATACTGGCTGAGACTTATGTCTCTTGAGGTTTTACCGTGCCAGGAAGGTTGTTAGGATAGCGGTTACCGGAATTGTGTAAGAATATTTCTTACACTATCCTGGGGGGTCTGTGGGCGAAGTTGTACTGCTGGGGAACAGGGGTGTAATAGCAGTGAGGTGTTTGCCTCAGATGACCAGCATGCCAGCCAGCCAGCTATGCTCTCTCTCCACTCCGGAGGGAGGGAGGGGGGTTAGAAAAGGTCGGCCCCAAAATTGTACATTCTGACTTACCCCACCTACGGTGGTGGTCCGTAACCGGCGGTAAGTTTACTAATGCGGAACCAATTCATACAGGCCGTGTGTGATCGGCTGAACTGAAGCACTTGTCTTCTGGGCTCTGCGGTCAAGCAACACTAACCCTCTCTATGTTTCAGGTACAAGCAAGATTCATTTGTAGCTCTCTTTCAACACACCTTTATACCAGTTCACTTATTTAATAATCTTTAAAAGTTTTGTCATTCATTCAATTTACCATAATATTTCTGTTTGTTTGTTTGTGTTTTTCTTGCTCTCTGTAGACCAATAAAGGTCATCGAATGTTACAAAGACTTGGATGGAAACCAGGCAATGGATTAGGACAAAATAGTAATGGTGTAATAACTCCAGTCAATTGTGTAAAAGCTGTTAAACCCTCCCAAGTAGTATGAACATTGAGAAAAAAAAAGAAAAATCTTCAAATGAGATGATATTTATAGACTGTGAAAAAAAAACACAACACAAAATCTACAATGCACAGTAGTTGCCTTTCATCGGCTGCCTTCCGAGTGCAGCATAGAGTGCAGCATGGCTTCAACAACACATCTCCACTTTGTTCTGTTTTTTTTTACTGTCCTCTTCAGCTGGCTAGCTCCACGATTGACCAAACTCTGTCATCTCTTCCTCATACGATCTCCTCCATGTCACCCTCGCACTGACGACCCACTCGACCAATGGTCCGCATTGTTTGCGATGTATGCCCAATCCATCTCCACTTTCTCCTACATATTCACTTGTTGAGCAATCGGCTCTTGCCTGTTGGTTTGTTCCCAGCCAGCCAGAGTTACTTGTCGCTTACTGTTTCTGGCCGGTTGGCCATTTGTTCTTCAGTATGGAACCAGCCAGCGAAGGCAGATCTGTGTTATATAACATATATATATATGGAGAGAGAGAGAGATTGTGATGAGTGATGTTATGAACTGAACAGTTAAATTTGGTTAACTCTTTTTTTCCCGCCGACTGAAGGTGATCCCTGATCATTTCATCTCTCTATCGCCTTTATGTGTTGGCGCTTTCTGTGATGTGATGTAATGCGATGTGTTGTGTTGTGTTCCCTCTTCTCTTCATCTGAAACTGTGCTTCATAGGTGGTGGTGTACAGATTTTACATTCTCTTTCAATTTGTCTTATTGTCAGTGAACATGTAAATTTTGTCTTTGTTCTTTTGTTTCTTTTGTATAATAAATATTGATTGATTTTTCTTTTTAAGGAGTTATACTTTTATTCACAGTTTTTTCTATGAGGTAGGGAGGTGGGGGAGGTAGTGACAGAATTGATGAGTAGTCACAAGCCCAGTTGTTAATATTAGTCAGTGAATGCATAATTGACTGACTGACTGACTGACTGGTTTCAACATAGGACATTGCTCCAGTGTGCAGCGGTTCGAATCGCCACACTTCACTCAGAATACAAAGCCAGAGAAGATAGTAAGAAGAAATGCAAAATAGAGACAGTAAACATACATATAAGGCAAAAAGAATAGTAATATCGAAGAACAATATAGTTTTATTGGATAAGTCACTAGAAGTGAATGCATCTTCGCCAGCCAGCCATTAAGAATGACGATTTTCAGCCATATATCACTAGTTGTCTCCAGCCTTCATTGATTTTTACCGTCCGTAGGACCCCAACTAGTCAGGAAGTCTAGGCCTTCCCAAATGGCTGGCTGGCTTAAATTAAGTGTTGTGGATTTCATTGGCTGATCAAGCCATGTTTTGGCATTAATCAATGCATAATTGGAGTTGAATAAGTGTATTAGAGTTACATAGTTAGATAAATTATCTGATGGATGAGTTGTGATCAGGACTTACACAGAAACGAAGGAAAATATGGAAGTATGTATGAGAGTACTATGGAAACACGAGAGTTCTAAGGAGTTAGGTTAACAGACAAACAAAAATTCAAGTCAGCAGAAATCAACATGCTTTTTGTTACAATGATAGTAGAAGTGATTGAATAATTTTCTTTCGTATGCATAGCGCTCCAGTTTTTCTAACTCACCAGGTAAATCTTCAGCAATGTAAGAGAGACGGAAGCGTATTGCCCTTGTGCGAGGTTATTCTTCACTTTGTCGATTACTTTGAAGGAAGTGTTTAACAAAAGTAGAAAAGCGGACAATGTGTGCAAGTGAGCGGAATATTATGCTCACGCATTCCCACAGTTGAATACTCCATACAATATATATGTATTAGAACGAAATATTCCCATATTGAGTCATAAGAAAAAGGCACAAACAGTGAAGGAAATCTCCGCTTTTCGACGATTCATTTTCATGAGCTGCTGTACAATCGTTATTATATTTAACAAAGAAATCTTTAGACTAATCAGATACTGGTAAACTTTGACCTTGAAAACTGTACTACATAATGTAAGGTGTCAGAAGGGATGACTAAATTGTAAGTTAGAAAGGAGACAGACGTTGGCATGTATTGAAAAGTGTGAGATAATGACTAATCAATAAGCTCTCGTAGAATGGGCAGGAACTATTGGAAAGGCTATAAAGTGTTTTTGTATAAAATCTGTATGAAAAAGCAATGTTATCAATAAACAGTAATAGAGTGGTAATAAAATGTGGATGATCGGAATAATAATGATAATAAAAGTATTAAGAATAGTAATAATAATGATAATAGTGAACTTACATATTAAAGGAAAGAAGCAAAATTGTAGTAAGAACTTTACTCTGTCCATTGTATGTATCGCTTTTGTATACACAGGTCAGGTTTCAGATCTCGAATTATTATTCAATATGTTTTAAAATTTTTTGATATATTACAGTAATAAATTTTAAATTTTCTTTTATAATTTAACAGACATGTAAATAGTCTTAGTATATAACTTACCACTGAAATTATACTGTTACATAATGACATTTTTATATTGATTTTTATTCTAGTTCTGTGTAGACGGACCTACCTATAAATTTATTGATCACAGTAATTTTGAATGTTTCATTCATTGTGAGTAAAAACTTATTTTGATGAATTCTCACAAAGTTTGTTATAGAGTAATATTTGCTGATGACCACACGCTTCGAGCACAATTTATTACTACTGCTCATAATCATCATATCAAGGCACTACTAGCACACAACTTTCTAACTTCGTTTATATAATTCCATGGCTAATTTTCATCGCTTGACTTGATTGTTAGTAGTATTTTCCATATTTGTGGTATGAGTGATGAGTCATTCCTATTGCAGGTGTTGTATTGTGTATGGACTTGATGAACAGTGATTAAGGAATCAACCTCTATCTTCTTTCCACCTACCTATATTACTTCTTAGAATTTTGACTTTGTCCCACCTCTCTATTGTGTGGTTGTGTTAATGAATGCAGCGTGACTGCTGAGCTTTTTTCTAAATTACTTATCTTCGTTGGTGGGATCAATCATTCTAACCGTAGCTAAATTCTCACAATGTTCTGACACGCAACCTGGCTACTACTTCTGATCTACTGGTTTGACCTATGTAGTTGACCTCACTCACAGTCATTGCAAGGTAGTTTGTAAATTATATTATTTTGTCTAAATTGGGTCAATCGATAGGGTCTTTTAACTTACAGAGCTTGTCTCTGAGTGACTTTTTAAGTTTGAATGTCACTCTGATTCCTGCTTTATTAAGAATCCTACTTAGGATTTCAGATGTGAACGAAATATTCCCATATTGAGTCACAAGAAAAAGGCACAAACAGTGAAGAAAATCTCCGCTTTTCGACGATTCATTTTCATGAGCTGCTGTACAATCGTAATTATATTTAACAAAGAAATCTTTAGAACAATCAGATAATGGTAAACTGTGTACTACATAATGTGAGGTGTAAGAAGGGATGACTATTGTAAGTTAGAAGGAAGACAGAAGTTGGCATGTCTTGAAAAGTGTGAGATAGTGACTAATCAGTAAGCTCTTGTAGAATGGACAGGAACTAGTGGAAAGGCTATAAAGTATTTTTGTATAAGATCTGTATGAAAAGCAATGTTATTAATAAACAGTAATAGAGTGATAATAAAATGTGGATGATGGGAATAATAATAATGGCAATAAATCGAGATCTGAAACCTGACCTGTGCATACAAAAGCGATACATACAATGGACAGAATAAAGTTCTTACTACGATTTTGCTTCTTTCCTTTAATATGTAAGTTCACTATTATTATTATTATTCTTAATACTTTTACTATCATTATTATTCCCATCATCCACATTTTATTACCACTCTATTACTGTTTATTAATAACATTGCTTTTTCATAGAGATTTTATACAAAATTACTTTATAGCCTTTCCAATAGTTCCTGTCCATTCTACAAGAGCTTATTGATAAGTCATTATCTCACACTTTTCAAGACATGCCAACTTCTGTCTCCTTTCAATCTTGCAATTAGTCATCCCTTCTGACACCTTACATTATGTAGTACAGTTTTCAAGGACAAAGTTTACCAGTATCTGATTGTTCTAAAGATTTCTTTGTTAAATATAATTACGATTGTACAGCAGCTCATGAAAATGAATCGTCGAAAAGCGGAGATTTTCTTCACTGTTTGTGCCTTTTTATTATATGTTTCAACATTTAATTTGATGTAAGTTAGAATACACTTCCCACGGTTATTGACTGCATTAACAAAAGAATACTATGTATATTTGAACATTTTATTTCATGTCGCTTGATGTAAACTAAAATCACTCGCTTGGTGATTGGTTAACGAATATAATCGGTAAATATTTAAATAGCTGTTTGATTAATCGAAAATATAGTTTGGCTCCCGTGTCTTGCCTTCCCTTGTTACAGACTGTTATATTTCTAAGTAGTTTGAGGTCAAATTTTGATCACACTTCATGCAATTGTGTTTATTGTATTTTCAAGAATTTGTAGGGATTCCACTTGTTTCAGCTTAGACAACGGACTGATGTCATTTAGAGAACTGCTGAAAACCATGGAATACTGGACACAGCCAGCTGTTTCATCCTACTTTGGGACTCATTGGCAGTACGCAATCACCGAGCAGGGTTCGAATTGAGGACCTTCTGGATGCAAGGCAAGCTTGTATACTATTCAGCCACTGGAACTCAATTCAATGGCCAGTGCATGAATTCTAAGATTTTAGGGCGACTGACAACCAATGTCATCAGCGGAAACTCCATCCCCACTCACTTGCCTTGTAACCGGAAGGTCCTGGGTTCGAAACCAAGTGGGGGCGAGTACTGCTGATGAGTCCGAAACCAGGTGGAAACAGCTGTCCAGTACTCCCTGGTTTTCAGTGGTTCTCTAACTTATCATTATATTTTGGATACCTGTTTCATGACTCAAATGATTGGACAAAGTTTTTAAAAAACAAAAGATGTTCTTTATTATATAAACACCTTTGTTATATAAATTTTGATTAATTCCCTTGAAGAAGTTTGGACCAGTTTGCTGAACGTTGGAACTACTCATTTCAATTTTGCTAAGATTTCACAAATAAAATTTTTACAAACATCACTGTACGGTAAAAATAAATGTGAGATTTTCGAAAAATTAAATGTACATAACAGAAATATTGATTGGTCACTGAAGTGTAACTATTGTCATGCAGTGTATGTTGACCTTAGAGTTGACTGAATATTATTAAGTGTTGTTTCCAGGGATTTGATTGGTTAGTTACAGGATCGATTACTAGCTGACATCAGTTAGAGAACCTTTGGAAAGTCTGAGAGTACTAGTTTGAGACCATTCATCAGTACGTATCCAGCACCGTTGAGGTCATGAGATGAGCTCGTAGGCCATTTAACCACTGGGACCCGACCCAATCAGGTTTACAATATGGTCGTTAATCTGGCTAAATAAGCATCTCTATGCACCCATGAATTGTCCTTCAATCGTTGAAGATATCAGACAGTAAAACTCTAGAATTATGTTTTTGACGTACTTTTTATCTCTTTGCCTCAAAGGTTTTTACCTGCTCCACTGAGTGCTCTAGGCAGATATTTTTCTACTCTGCTGTATTCATGAGTTTCTAAAGGAACATCACTTACTTGGAAGCCGGGAGAACACGTGTTTCCAATGAGGGCCAGCGACTGCTGGACCTATAGGTACAGGGCTTTCATTTGAGTATTATTATTATTCGGAGACGAGCAAAGATCTTCAGTAGCACATCTGCACTGCACTCAACTATCTGCCATCACCTTTAGGTTGCTCCACATCACCCTCAAATCAACGCACAACTCATCACTTCTTGTTTGGATCACACTCAAGGGTCTGACTAATGATGTCACTCAATGGACTCCTCCGAGAATGTCTGTTCCATGTCGATTTCTTTCTGCACATTTGTTTGACAATAGACTCTTGACTTATTCACTGCCAGAGTTCCTTGTTGCCGATCCTTTTCGACTGACCACGTGATCTTCAGTATAGTGGCAAATCAGCGGTCGATCAAAGTCTTCAGCCTGTTGCAAATACTATCGGTGACGTGTGCACAAATCTATGAGACCTGGTCATTGAGAGTGGAAAACACGAAAAGGCTGGCTTCACTGCCTTTGATCATATGTGCCTGCGTTCTCTCTCCTTTTTGAAGTGGCATAATAGGTTGAGCAATATTGAGGTTAGGCATCGGTTGAGTGCTAGGTTAGGAGGGAAATCAATAGACGAGGCTGTGAAGCTGCATCACTTGTGCGTCGGTGGCACAGTGGTTAGGACTCTCGCCAACCATGCACATGGTCCGAGGTTTGAGCACACGCCAACGCACACCTGATATCTATGGTCGGCCTGCAAAATTTGGACTACCGATATCCATGCTGAAAATTCCGTACCATACCAACCATGTTAAGAATCCTATACTTGATTCCCGACGCAATATCGCTGTATCAGTGTATCCCACACCATGGAATTGTGCCTTTTCGTTGTCAACCAATCCGGATCATCTAACGAACGACCAATCAGAGAAGAGAATACACCTCATTGCACAAAATATCTTCCTTCCCATCTCTGGGATATGCACACACATACACACACAGGGTATTTGTGTGTTACTTTCATATTTTCCAGAACTATTTATTTATTGATTAGTTGAAAAATGGTTATTTAAATCAAGGTTATCCTTCCAGTCATCCTGATTGGTTGACTTGAAATCGAATAAAAAGATGTTTGAACAATTTTTCGGAGGCATTATTTCCTACGAGTTAAAATTATAACAATTGATCAGGGTATACAAACAAGATGTCGATTGATTTGAGTATATACGTGATGATGGCAATTATCTGCATGGACAGTTTAGTATGCAGTGATAATTATTCCCCGCCTAATATGCTATGCCCAAGTGGTTATTGGCCAGCTAATGTGAATATATCTGGTGGTCCGTATAGAACTGATCGAACATTTGAACTGCCGTATCTTCAAGATGCTGATGAACCAATATGTCAATTTTGTCCTAATGTTGGCTGTTTCATAGTACGTCTATCAACAGATGTGAAAGAAACGCGATCAACACAATCAACGTCTAGCACTGTGACTACGTCTACTAGTACTACTTCGAGTACGAGTACGACTATGACTACTACTCCAACTGCTTCGGCTACTTCCTCAGTGACTGATACATCAGGCACAACAATAACAGGAACTTCAACAGAACTACTACTCACCACTATGAATAATGCAACAGAAATCAACAATTTAAATGAAACTCAAGAACCAGTAAATTCAACATTAATTAATAATGATGATTCAACTACTCGCGATGCATTATACATGTCATGTGATCATTGGGATCAACTCCCATCACCATCAGATATTGTCAGTTATCTAGACTGTGTTATGATTGGTCATAGAAAGCAGTTCTATTTATTTATTTATGAACCAAGATTTGGAATAAAACCTCTACCAGCAGTGGATTGTGTAGACGCTGACTTTTTAGCCTGGATTCCAAATGGAACTGAACTGTTGGGATTGGAGCTAGGCTTTCGAATGAAAAAAATACCACCATTTCTATTCCGTTATCATCAGCGAATTATGCAGGTCAGTGAGTCTATGCCTATATATATAATTATTTATGTTCAAGAGCCATTGTGTAAAGATTTGATTTGTTTCAAGTTTGATCACGAATTTATATGAGTTAGAGACCAACAGGGAGTACTGGATAGTTAGCTGTTTCGTCCTACTGGTTTGAGACTTATTGGCAGTTTATTATTATTATTGTTCCCTTGGGTTCCTAGTGGAACATAGGGCTTCAAATGGGCGTCTCCACTTGCCACTTCTGTCTTCTGCTGTACTTTTCATCTGCATCCATGTTAGTCCATACTCTTCCAACTCCTCTTCACACGGTCTCCTCCATGTCACCCTTGTACTGACGTCCCACTCGCCTCTTCCCTTTCGGGTTCCACTGAAGCAATGACCTGACGCGCGGTGTCACCCAGCGGCCTCCTCAGCGAGTGTCCACTCCATCTTCATCCACTTTCACCTGCATATTTGTTCGGCGATTGGTTCTTGTTTTGTTTGTTCCCATAGTTGGTGATCCTTTCCGACCCGGCCATCTCATCTTCAGTATAGATCCAGCGAAGACAGTTGTTGATAAAGGTCTGCAACAGGCTGTTGGAAATATTCTTTGTGACCCACCCGCCAAGTTTCTGATCCCCATAGAAGAACTGAATTGACTTGACGTTTGTATTGAAAATCCTACCGAATTTTGTTGTTGATGCTGGCTGAGTGACGAAGATTTTTAGATTAGTTTCAGGTTGATGAATGTGTATGTTTCTCGCCTTCCCGATTCTCGCTCGATTTGACTTCCTCGTCCGTTCCTCTTCCTGTAGTTGAGACAATGTGTTTGACATTGTCAGTAGTGAAAAGCCAGATTGAATGAATACACGTCCTATTAATGTCGGGTGTTAGTCTGTATTTGTGTTGAACTCACCGAAACTGAGTGCTTCTTCGCATACCCTTCTCGATGGCATCATCCACTGTGTATTTGGATATGGTGGAGATCGTCTTTCATCACTTATTGTCATTTTGGAGCACAATCTTCGTTGTCTTGGAAATTTGCTTCTAATTTTAATTTTTTTTAAATTTTTAATTTTAATCTGCTGTCACGCCGTTCACACTGTTTTACTAGCCATACGGTTAAGTGGACAAAACGAACGGATAGTCAGCCCATAACATGGTGCCATGATATGAAAGATAGTTGCTTCAAGTTAGCAACTGTTGGCACGTCACAATCCTGTGGATGCTTGAGAAGTTATCAGGTATGTCAGTGAATCGAAATATAAACTACGGAATATCTCCAACTTTTATCGACCTCATTCAACAGCTATATTATGATGCTCCGTGTCCAGTTATTTACAGAAACCTTTGAAATGAAGGTCGGAGTAAGCTAAGGCTGCTATCTACTATCGCTGATAATATTCTTGATTGTGGCGGGCTAGATCTTGCAGTAGGTCGCGGGAAGTGACAACACAGGCATACGATGAGCAAGGAGACTCTAGAATATCTGGAATTTCCTGGCTGATTGACGTCTACTGTCACAAAAACTCAAAGATCTACAGGCGACTACGAAGAAGCTGACAGATTAAAGCAATGAATAGAGAGTTGATAAAGATATACCCCTACTGAAGATCAGATGGCCACCAATAAATAACTAGAGAAAATCAAACTCTAGAAATAAAGCGACTAAGAGTCTTTTGCCCAGCAACAATTCAAAAGAAAATACGTATAGATCGGGTATACTCGGACGCCACAGTTGAGTGATATCAAGTGACAGACCATCAAGTAGGAACCTGAATAAGAAACGATGAGTCTCGTGTGGATCCAAATTGCCATGGAGGAGATCATATGAGGATGAAATAACGGCTTATGGGGAATCTTGGAGCCAGAACAGACTGAGATGAGGAAGTGCTGATGAAGTTTTATGTTCCATGTTAGAACCCAATCGAGTAATAATCACAATAATGGCATAATCACTTGGTGCCTATAATAAAAAAAAATAAATAAGTAATTTGGAAACTGATTCAACAGGTTTTTATCAACCTCATTGAATAGCTCGCTGGCTAAATAAAAATGAGGTCACGTGTCAGGGGATCCACAACGAAAAACTCAGTGAGGCGTTCGAAGTGCATGCAGGAGTAAGACACGACTGACTGCTTGCCTATTATCACCGATGATATTCTTAATTTTGGTGGACTGGATTATGCATTAGACTGTGCATAGGGAGCGAGGAGTCAGAAATACGCTGGACGACCGACAGGAGGAAGATTCTAGAAGTACTGAATTTCGCAGAAGATTTATTTTTTTTAATGTTGCACAAACACGAAGACTTACAGGCGAAAACCAACAAACTGGCAGCGAAGATAGGCCAGATTTTTAGGTGAACATAGAGAAGACGGAGGTGATGAAGATGACCAACTTACTTACTTTTTTACTTTACTTCGGCTATCTCCTACGGGAGGATGAGCCGGCTTCATGAACGTCTCGAATCATCGCTGCCCAGGCGCGGCAATTTGTAAGAGAGTTCATGAAGTTTCATGGGAATTTGGTACGAGTGATGTCCCCAGCATCGCTCGGCCTTTTGTTTGAGAGTGCAGCTCTAGCCTTTACACAGCCAAGTGTGACCTACAAGGCAGTAGGAGTGGAGTAAGGAGTCCACTATCCATTGGCAGCCGGTGACCGGAGTTCGGTTCATACGCCTTTTTGAATGGGGCCAGACATCCAGGACATCCAACAAGCCCTTTGTCTATACGTCTGCCGGTGAGCTCCAGTGAGCTTCATACGCCAGTCGTTGGAGGTTTGGAATTAGGGTTTAGCCATCTCCCCTAGACCGTCATCCAATGGACAGTCAACCCGGTGGAGAGCGCTGGACCAACGAACAGCAATAACAACGGTAACACAACCAGCACCGATCACCATCATCAACGAAAGAGATTTGAAAGAGGTTACCTCCTTCACTTGTCTGTCCAGGAAGCATAGTTTTAACTACGGACACACTCGGCATGGATGGAGATATCAAAGTCAATCAGCTAGAATCGGAAAGACATGATTCGGTCTTCATCAACCTGAAACCAGTTTGGAAATCTTCTGCACTCAGCCAACACATAAAGCACAAGAATAGGATTTTCAACACATATGTGAAGTAGTCGGTTACTACTTCTATACGTGTCAGAAATTTGCACTGCATGTGTTATAAAAAGCTTTTCCAACAGACTGCTGTAGAATTTTATGAACAGCTACCAGAGAGGATGAGTAACAAAAAACTCTGGCCGACAAATAACCAGTCAAGATCTGATCGTTGAACAAATATGTAACAGAAAATGGATATACATGGATTGGGCAAACGTTGAGGAGGCCGTCAAATAACCTTGTACGCAATACAGGCTATTGCTCGAGTGGAATGCAAATGGGGGAAGCGACGAGTGGGTCATCCATCCTAGAGTAACATGGAGGAAGAGATGACAGATTATGGCTGATCGTGAAGCCAGGCAGCTGAAGAGGATAGCAGAAAATAGAAGAAATTGAAGGTGTGTTGTTGAAGTCAGCCCGCAATGTTCCACTCGGAACCCAAGGGAACAATAATAATCATAATAAGTTTAAATTAGAAAGTATTAACATATAGAATTAGATTAACAAACCCGTTTCTCTTGACTTTTGTTTTGCATTATTTTTTTTTCAGTCAACACAATATATCTGTATTGATGGATCCAGTTTAACAAATAATTCTTTTCAATTTGAAGATACTGAACGATTTGCCAGTAATAAATTAACACAAGTTGTATTTCGTACTTCAACATCATTACGGAGAGAACGTCTTCCACCGAAAGCACTGGACAGTCATCATACAACAGAATTTCAAAGTGATGAAGAAATTCAAGCATGTCCATTCATTGTTCAACATAAACCGGCTAATATTACTCCGAATACAGATTGTCAATTTTCACCTGGTGTAAGTTTGAGTATCCCCATTTTTTTGATCAATAAAAATATCTAGGTGGTATTTTAATTGAATTTTAAATTTTCGATTGATTGATCGACGGGAAAATCCAAAACTCAATTACATTATTGTGACGCGTTGCACAAGAGGTGGTTCTCGTGGACCAAGTGCTCTAGTGGATAACGCTTTGGCGTTTGAAACTACGGGCACATGGCTCGAACTTCAGTGGGAACATCATCAGTCACTGAGAAATGCAGGTACATCCTGATGACGAGTTCCAAACAGGACGAAATGCACATCTTGGATTCCACTGCTAGTCACCATCCACCAATTATATCTGGATGGTAGTTTGAGTAATTTGACTGGTACCAAGTTCGATCAGGGATTGATATTATTTAGAGAACTATCGACAAATGGACAGGAAGTACAGGACAGCTAACGCTTGCTTGTAAACTAATCTTGTTACCCACTAGGGATTGGCTCAAAGATGAAATTACCTGAAGTTCAAGTGAGAAGTTGTGAAAAATTAGGGTCCACTAAGTTGAGTGTGAGGATAAATGTTCGCCAATAACATTGGTCGGTAGTAGCACTTATTATAATTATCCTTCTGCATTCCCAGTGGAACATAGGGTGGCTTCAATCTAGACCTTTGAAGTCTCGGTAGCAGATGGGATGGAATTGCTAGTCTCACGTCCAACCTTCCCTCTTTTGCTGGCTTTTCATCAGCTAAGCGAGGGGAGTGCGTTGGCCGGGGATCGAACTCAGGACTACCTGAGTGGCTGACGATCATTCTGCCTCTGCGCCACCGGTAGTGGCGCTAAAAATCGTGAACTGATAGAAGTTAGATTTGGATTTCTGCCCAGTGAATGAATGGTCAATGAACTCACTTTGTAGTCTTCAAGTTTCGAGGACATCCTCCTGACTATTCACTTATTCGTATAGAATTCAATGTTCTGTAGATTTCTAACTTCTGTAAATTCTCCTTATGACTCTACCACCCAAAGATGGCGTCAGTGAGCAACCAGCTTACTGTGGACAATGATCAACACCACCGGTCACATCTCCTCAGAACTTCAGGAAATCCATACAGTAGGTGCTGATGGGTTGAAGAGTGATGTTTAGATTTCAGGAATGTTTTGTAGGTATGCGTGAGTCGTCATCAGAATGCACATAGAAACGAGGGAAAATTTAGAATTATGTGAGATTTATAAGGAGTTAGAAAAACAAGAGATTTTTTTATTTCGATTACAGCTTGATTCCACACTGTATTTTTGGTACAAGTATGGAATTTTCAGCATGGATATCGGTAGCCCGAATTTTGCAGGCCGACCATAGATATCAGGTGTGCGTTGGCGTGTGCTCAAACCTCGGACCATGTGCATGGTTGGCGAGAGTCCTAACCACTGTGCCACAGACGCACTAGAAGTCATGACCAGTGAGGTCCATTCAGTCAAGTGTAAGAATGGATGTCCCACCGATGACATTGGTTGGCGTCGCGCTAAATCACGAATTGGTAGAAGTTAGAATTCATGCGCTATGGAGTCGGGTCCCAGTGTTTGAATGGTGTACTAGTTTGCCTTGTAATCTGAAGGTCCTGGGTTCCAACCCTGGTGGTGGGTGCTTACTTCCGATGATTTCCAAGCACTGAAATGAAATATCTGTCCAGTATTTTCTGGCGGTTTTCAACGGTTTTCTAACTCATGTCAATCGGTGATCAACTCGTAAAAAAATGCATATGTTTCCAACCAATCAGATTTAAAATAGTCCCTAAAGTAACCAATCATTTCAGAGGAAAATACATTTCATTTGACCAATCGTTTGAAAGATAGTTGTTCAGTCTTTGAGCCGATAAATGTCTATTTTTGATTCACTTTGATATTGAATCGATTAATGCAGACCTTTAGTGAACGATAAGAGCTGTACAGTGATAACTCTAAATAAGTTGTTATTGATGCGCAAAGACACCTCAAAATTTACTGAAATACCTTCCTACAGTACATCTTAGAAGTCTTAGAAGCTTTCCAAAAGGGCGTCGAGTCATGGAGGTCTAAGTGATCTTATGGTTTGATTTCATCACAAACTGACATCAGTCAGTGAAAAATTGCTAACCCATGAGCATTGGGCAGCTGTTTCCTCTCAGTACAAGGACTCTTCAGTAGTGCACACCTGTAAACTCAACAGGCGTCAAACAAAAGAGGATGCTCACTCCATCCTATTTAGGATTCATCAACTGAATACACCTGGCACCTCAGTGCGGAATGATCTTCCAGCAACAATCGAGTTTCAAACTCCAATGCGTTATCAACTATAGGTCACTTGTGATACGAGTACTACAGATTGGCTTTATTGCATATCAACGCCAACTGTAGCCTGTCTTTATGTTTTTGACATAGAACTTTGCACATATGTGCACCAGTGCAAGTTGCCACACTCCATCCATGTAACACACAAAGAAAGAGAAGAAAGTAGAAGAAATGCATAATAGAGACAGTAAACAGAGGTGTGAGACAAAGGAACAGTAATAACGAAGAACAATATAGTTACATTGGAAATCATAAGTCACAAGGAGTGGATGCATCTGCGCCAGCCATTGAGAACGAAGATCTTGAGCCACATCACTAATTGTTTCCAACCATTGATATTTACCGTCCCGAGGACCCCAACCAGGAAGTCTTCACCTTCATTCATGGTTGGACTATTGTAGATTTCATTGACTGCTGCCATGTTTTGGTTTGACCTCCTCTGGCTCTTTTCCAACCTGACCCTACGTCAGCTAGCATTGCCCGTTGGAGAAGCCGATAGGTGGTGAGGCATGTGTAACACATGTCCTAACCATCTCAGTCGATGTAGCTTCACAGCCTCGTCGATTGATTTCCCCTCCTTACCTAGCAGTCGATGCCTAACCTCAATATTGCTCACGCTGTTATACGACTTCACACGGGAAGTAGAACACAGGCACCTTTGATCGATGTCTCCCACTCTCAATGGTCAGGTCTCGCCGACAGCCATAAAGGAGGACGGAGCGGACTGATGAGCAGTACACCCGCCCTTTGGTCGATAACCGGATAACGAAGCTTCGGTGGCACAGTGGTTAGGACTCCCGCCAACCATGCACATGGTCCGAGGTTCGATCCCCTGCCGACTCACGCCTGATATTTATGGTCGGCCTGCAAAATTTGGACTACCGATATCACGTGCTGAAAATTCCATACTGTACCAAAAATACAGTGTGGAATCAAGCTGTAATCAGAAATAAATAAAAAAATACATAACGCGACTAAGCCAGAGATGGCGTAAACTGGCATATGTGAAACTAGCCCTCCTGTCAACTGTAGCGTCTCAGTCCGTTTCTATGATGGTTTTTATTATTATTATTATTATTGTATCCTTTAGTTCCTAGAGGAACATAGGGCTTCAGCTGCGCACCTCCATTGACTTCGGTTTTCTGACAACTTTTTCACCCTGCTCCAGGTTTGTCCACATGCTTTAATGACAGGTTATATTTTTGTGCACTTTTCAAGATGAAATTTTGGGATTAAAAATTAAATTAAAATATTTTTCTGACACATTATCGGTAAAATTACATTCTAGAAGTGCGTTATATTCGCAGCACTTTTATCAAAAGAAATGTTGCTTAATACCGATATCTGCTCAATGTAATGGATTTCGGGAGGCAGTAGGTTCAAAAGTATTGTGTATATATTATTGATTTTTCATGAAATCACGCTGGTATATTTTTTGGCCTGTTCACTGAAAACCCCTAATACTCACCGAAAAAAGTGGTGTCACTACAAAAAAGGGATATGCCATATAGTGTCGCGATGGTTACTAGCAATGGAATGCAGGATGAGCCTTTCGTCTTATCTTTGGCTCATCAGCTGGATGTGACTTCATACCGAGTGAGTGATTTTGTTGCTGGTAGAAGTGGAACGAAGCACGCATCGTTTCAAACGCCAAAGCTTTACGTGCATGGCTAATGGACTACGAAAGTCGCGTTTTGTGTTTTGTATTTCTCGCTGAATACTTTATACTAGGTGGAAATGCTCTATCACTGTTACTATATCGGCTCCTGGTTTGAACACTTTAGTGTTTAAATCGATAAGCACTCGATTTGACCCCCCTATTGGGAGCTCCATTAATCACGGGAAAACCCAGGTACATTCAGATGACGAGTGCCAAATAGAACGAAATTAACATTTTGGATTCCACTGCTAGTGACTTCTAACCAATAAACAATCATGGTAATCATCCTATATCGTTGATGTTTTAAGAGTGCCAGAGTATTTCAGTTTAACCTACGTCAATAAACAGGAAATACGAAATTATTTAAACAAAGATCCATCTTGTCTTTGACTTTCAATTATTTTATTTTTGTTTCTAACAGGGTCTTCCAACTACATCCGATAAAGTTAGTTCACATCAAGCTTTAGAACGATGTCCATTCCGTCGATTGACACGAAATAAACCACAACAAAGACGACGTAAAAGTCACACTGGTCTAGGTGATGAAATCAGTTTACCACCATCAGTCCTCTCCGCTTGTCTATTAATTGTTGTCCTCTTGTTGACTGTCGGTATAATCATCGCTTTCTGTGTTATCAATCATGAAAAGTTGGTGTTGTGTAGATCGCGTAGCAGTAAACGACGTGAAAGGGAAGCAGCACTGGCTCAAGAATTGGCTGAGAAGGCGGCTAAAGAAGCTGCAGCTGCTAGTGCAGCGGAAGCGGAACAACAACAGGCGGCTGCAGCTGCCGCTGCCGCTGCCAGACATCCTATCTATGCAAGATATGGAATGATTCCACCTAATATGGGTGGTGCATTCGGTGCTTTTGCACCAAGACCAATGGATTTAACATCATCATCAACATATCAAACAGTCTCTGGTGGAAATATGAATATGGCCTCTGGGAATATGGGACGCGGAAATCCTGGTTATGGTGGACATAATATGTAGATGGCTGACTAATCCATGTGTACAGAATATATGGAAGACAAACGGGATAACAGATATCTTGAAATATCTAAACATGACTATTTATGCCTTTCTTCTCATGTTGTATAGAAATATTATTTACTATATCTACACTAATTATTAGTAACTAACATTCATCTGCATTTGTTCTGTTTATTGATTTTGTAAACCTTGTTGCAAGACTTATTATGAATAAATGATACTATCGAAAACAGTTATCTTCCCGTAAACTTTTTTTGTCATTATCCTAGAGAAGCGGGTTGATTCCCACTGCATTAGAGCTTTGGTTACCGGTGTTGACATCATCATAGCTAATCACTGCCTCAGCGTGGTCGTGGTTGTCGTCTGAGTGACCAGACCGGAGTAGATTACTGACTTACCAGTTGGCAATTTCGATAGTCCACATCCATTCCATATGCTTTCTCAGATTCCGAGCACTTTACACTACATCTTCTTATTTCTTTGCCAACCTGGGCAACCTTTCAATCTTCGTATATTGTGCGAACATTTCATGTCCCAATGCTTAGTGGCTTCCCGACGACTTTCGCCATCTTGCATCATTTCATCTCTCTGATTCCAGCAAAAAATAAGTTTGTTTTTCATATTTTTCTTGTGCTTTGAAGCTTCTGTAGTCATTGGATTGATTTTATGGGGTAGGGTCACCAACCTCACGTCTACCGTCTTTTTTTTTGGGGGGGGGAGGAAGGCTAGTGCCTAGCTAGAAATCAAGTGAACTAGTATATTATATACATACACAACTCGCGCGCTGTTTGAAAGGGAGTGCTTTTTTCACGTATTTCACGTTTTTGACAAATCGCTGTTTTGTTGTGTTATTCACTTCAAGAACATTTAAAAAAAACTTTAACTTGACTTTTGTCTGTTAAGTTTTGATTTTAACCACTTATATATTCTATATTGGGTAAATTGTCTTGGCTGTTTCCAGTAGAATTTCATGATGTCAAAAGTACCACATAAATGTAATAGGGCGGAGTGTTACTTTTTGGTAGATGATGGAATACAGTGTAATAACTGTGAAAAATGGTATCATAAGATGTGTACTGGATTACGTCCAGCTGCATACAAACGCTGTACTGCTCCAACATCCCACTGGATGTGCAGAATGTGTTGCTCCCCAAAGATGACCTTAATAAGGGAGGCTCACGAACTGCTGTCTAAAGCCATGGAACTTCCTGATGATAGCGTGGCTAGTAAGAGTGACACGGACTGCCCGTCTGAAGATGAAGCAGTAAGTGCCATCATGAATGTTATCACACCGGCGGTTACTATCCCAGTTACCCCGGAAGTAAAACCTACTAGGCGTTCGAAGCGTCTTAGTAAGCGAAAAGGTAAAAAAACGGAAGCTGTAAACAGCACCTCAGAACCAGAGAACACCGTAAGCGAAGTTCACCATGAAGGTGGCGCAGACACTGATCTTGATTGTACCATCAAAAACTGCAGCAGCCCTGAGAAGCAACTGCAGGCAGATGATAAATGGGTAACAAAAATAAGCAGTCGAAAGAAATATAGTAATATTGATGGTAGGCAAACGTCTGTCACCTGTAGCCAGGCTGCATCAATAGTGGTGAGAAAGGACGTAGCCACTGCTAAATACGACAAGCTCTCCTTAGACTCTAACATAATTGTTGGAAATTTGGAAGAGTCCAAAGAATCTGATCCCGTGAAAAGGCACGATCACGACCTTAAATTAGTGAGTAGTATTATAAGGAAGATGCTCCCAGCGAATTTCCCTGGAGTATCGATTAAAAAGCTGATTAGAATAGGCAAAAGAGATGATGAATGTTCTAATCAGCGTAGGTTGCTTAAAGTAGTCTTAGGTTCTCCTGATGAACGGAATCATCTACTGGCTAATGTACACAACCTTGCCGGGTCAGGAATTTCAGCCAGACCTGATTTATCTCTTGAAGACAGACTTAAACGAAAAGAAGTTTTGTCCCAGCTAGAAACAAGACGCAAAAATGGTGAGACTAACCTTAAACTGGTGGGTTTTCAAATAGTCAGGTCTTGGAAACGTATGCTTCCAAGACCTGTGTGGATAGGCCAGACCGCATAGGAAGCCTGAAGGTAGTGTACACTAATATACGTAGTATCGGGAACAAATTTCACGAGCTAGGTGTATTAGTAGAAGACCTTAGCCCAGGTATTGTGGCCATTACTGAAACATGGCTGGTTTCGGGATTAGATGACACACCTGAGCTATGCGGATTTAGTTGCTTGCGCAGCGACAGAGTTAAGGGTCGTAGAGGTGGCGGGGTTGCTCTGTACATCAACAACTCCCTACATGTTCGTTCCGTGAAATCTGAAGCTCATGACAGTGGGACAGGTGAGGTAATTAGCTGTGAAGTAAGCTTTGCAACCGGCACTCTACTCATTGGAGTTCTGTATAGAAGTCCCTATTGTCAGTGTGATGACTTCATTTTAGATCACCTCAAACAATGGAGTAAACACAGTAGCTGTCTTATTCTAGGTGATTTTAATGCACCTCATATAGACTGGGTAGCTGTCACATCTCCAGGATCCGCTGATAAGTTTGACAGCCGGTTACTCTTGACAACCATGGAAAATGCCCTGACACAACATGTCTTAGGTAGTACAAGATTCGGTTCTACCCAAGGATCTTCCTTGCTGGACTTAGTGCTTACTCATGACAACGACGACGTGGATGGTCTAGTTATTCATCCACCTCTAGCAAACAGTGATCATGGGGTGTTAGATTTTAACTTAAGGGCTGGCAATTTAGTCAGTTTTCAACCCAAATCCCGGCCTAGTGTTTGGCATGCTGACATAGTGGCTATAAAGGAGCGTGCTTCAACTGCCGACTGGTCAGTCAACATTGTCTCATCCATTGAAGATGAATGGGATAGATTTAAGAATACACTTGAGAGGGTTACCACTGATCTCATCCCCTGGAGGGTTCCTAAAAGGCCAACAAATCGGCCACCATGGATAAATAGACAAGCTATAACACTCCTGAGACGGAGAAAAAGGTTCTGGAATCTCTTTGTTTCTACTGGGCTACAGCAGTTCCGGCTGAAATACTGTGAAACCAGAAACCAGTGTAAAACTTTGATCCACCAGTCAAGGATAGCTTACGAAACCCAGTTAGTTAAAAGTTCACCAGGCTGCCCAAAAAGACTCTTCTCATATATCAAGAGAAGAACACGTAAGAGTGATGCTATCCCACCTCTTATGCTTGAAGATGACCAGACAAACATGGCTGAGGATAACTTGACCAAGGCTGAGGCTTTGTCCAAGCACTTTAGTCAAGTATTCTCTGATAATATTGATACCAGCTTTGTAAATTTTCCAGAAGGTAACTTGAAAATGGCACCCTTATACATTGGAAAGGATACTGTCCTAAAGTGGCTTCTAAGGCTCAATCCTGGTAAGTCCAGTGGCCCTGATGAACTCCACCCACGTATATTAACAGCATTGGCTGAAAGCATAGCCGAGCCATTGTCGGTAATCTTCAATATGTCTCTGGACCAGTCTAAATGTCCAAGAGACTGGAAAGATGCCATCATTAGTCCGGTCTTCAAAACCGGATCTAGAAACTTAGTTCAGAACTATCGTCCTGTTAGTTTGACCAGTATTGTTGTTAAACTACTAGAAAGAATAATTCGTGATGCTATCATTCAGTTCATTGAAGGGAACAAACTTTTCGCTGTGGAACAGCACGGTTTTAGAGCAGGTCATTCTTGCTTGACCAACCTTCTTTTGGCCAGAGAAAGTTGGGCAAGCTCAGCTGATGCTAATATACCGGTGGATGCCATATTCATAGACCTTAGCAAGGCGTTTGACAGGGTTTCTCATTCAGGTCTTCTAGTAAAGTTAGGTAGTCTGGGAATCAATAAAGTGGTTACCGACTGGATTCAAGACTTTCTAAAGGACAGAAGACAAAGAGTACGAGTTAACGGGGTTTTATCAACATGGGAATCGGTTAAGAGTGGCGTTCCTCAGGGTACAATTCTAGGCCCACTTCTTTTCCTGATTTATGTTAATGAGATTCCATCGGTAGTTAAGTCATCCTGCTTACTGTTTGCTGATGACATCAAGATATGGAGGGCTTTGCACGATGACAGTGATCAACTTGCTTTGCAGGAAGATTTAAACTTGTTAAGTGATTGGTGTAAGCGCTGGGCCTTGGAGATTAACTTAAGCAAGAGTGTAGTTATGCATGTATCCCATAGTCACGTGCACAATTACTCAATGAATGGCATTACTCTCCCAGTGGTCACTGAGTACAAGGACTTGGGAGTGGTTGTGCAGCATGACTTGAAAACAGCAACAAACTGTAGAACTGCAGCCACTAAGGGTTTTAGAATGTTATGGGCCATACGCAAGGCTTTTGCGAACTTTGACGCTGATATATTTCGTATATTATATCCGACTTATATCAGACCTCATTTGGAATATGGGATCCAGGCAGCGAGCCCGTGTTTCAAATACGAAATTGACTTATTAGAAAGGGTGCAAAGAGTAGGAACTAAGCTAATAAAGGGTTTCTCAACCCTGTCATATGAGGAGAGGTTAAGTCGACTGGGTTTATTTCCACTGTCATACAGACGACTTAGGGGTGACCTAATACTAGCATACCGTATCCTAAGAAATGATTTTGGAGCTAATTTATCTAAATTATTTCTTCCTTCTAGCACCAACCAATTGCGAGGACATCACCTCAAGGTTCAAAAACCACGGTCGAATCGTCTGCGTCTGGAAATCCGTTTTTCGCATCGAATTGTGAACCATTGGAACTCCCTACCGGAACATGTCGTATCAGCGCCATCCGTTGATTCATTCAAGGCGAGATTGGACCTCCTGTATGAAATAAATCGAAAGGATTAACACAGGCATATAGCCTACTATCCTAAATAAATTGTAAACTGTAAACTGTAAACTATATAGGTCAGAAACTTAGCGTCCTCTCCACGACAAGTATTCCTAACAGGTTTCAGAAGTTTATCAATAGGTGCCCACTTATCTGGCTCTATACTGGAAACCTGATGTCCGACAAGAAGCAATCAGTAACAAGAAACTCTGAGAGAGAATCAATCGGAAACCTATTGTTTAACAAACAGAGATGGATTGGGCACATGTTCAGGAGACCTTTGAGTGATATCACGCGTCAGGAAATCGCTTAGCTGGAACGCGAATGGGAAACGAAAAGTTGTGCATTGGTTTTAGTGTGACATTGAG